ATCTACCTCCCCCTCTAAAAATAGCTCGTCCTTTCTAGCGCCTTCGTGAGCCTAAAACGGGGGCTCCTCTCCTACGGCCGCAGGGACTCTGAGCACAGGTTCACAAACTTTAATATTCGGCTGTCATTGGACGCTACCCTTCCCTGCTTTTATTCTCTTTCCGGTGTATAGGCTTTGCTCACTACACCGGCGCTGCTTGGGAATGCGAAAAGGGGGTGACCTGGTGCATGAACAGGCGGCAGCGGGATTAAACCTTTTCCCAGCCCGCCTCGCGTTGATATTTAATCTTAGTAATTTTCCCCTAGTCCGTGTATTGGTTTTCCTGTAAAATAAGATCCGGATGGGCATAGTTTCAGGGGGCCCTGCTTGTTCCCGGCGTAAGCTGCTGGGGGCAAAGTTACCCAGCCTGCTGGCTAATGGGTTTTATTCCCCCCAGTAGAGCTCTGGGCAGGCGCCCAGTGACCCACTGCGTCTCAGATGGACGTTAGTGAAGTCCTCCATGTGACTGCTCGCCCTTCAGAGAGGTTATGAATGAAATTATCTGCAGTATTTCCCCAGTATCAAAGTGGACTGGACACCAGTCAGTGGAAAAGAGTCTCTTTGAGAATTTTTTTAAAGGAATACTCTAGGAGCACCTTAAAGACTAACAAAACATGTAATTTACAAACCTTGTGTTCCAAATTGGGCTAGTGGATTTATTTAAAAAAAACATTTCCAGTATGGGTGCATAAGGTAGGTAGGGGTGGGTGTGTGTGTGTGTGTGTGTGTGTGTGTGTGTGTGTGTGTATTAGACCTGTGTGTGTTCCATATAATATTAGTGTATATGTGGTAGGTACTGTGAATGTGTGCATAATATCCATGAAATTTTACTTTTATTTTGCATGTATAGATACTGACAAGTCAGCTAGCATGTAGCAGATACCTATTCATGAGTAATGCTTGTGAATTTTATCAGTTTTTCTATTATTGATCTCTTTAAAGTTGTGATTATTTCTTATAATGTCAAGTGTAGGGCAAAAAGGATATTCCTTTCCAAAAACAATTTTTCTCAGTGCTAATAGTATTTTAATTGTGGTAGGTTTAAGTGCACTCAACATTTTAAAGCAACTGCCTTTTTTTACCCATTGATGAGCACTGTCCAGTATATATATTTCTTCTTGTTCAAATGTTTCTTATATGCAAAACCCATCCTCCCAGGATGGAACATTGGGCCCATGGGAAAGCTATATAGTTATCTCCAGCTGTTATTACATACTCAGCTACACAGGTGTCTATGACATGAGAATGGGAGTGGGTGGAAGGGCTGAGCCTCCAATTCAGAAGACAAACTCTCAGGAATTAACACCCCTCCAAGGATGGAATGATCATCCTGACATGCCTGTTATCAATAGAGACCACTCCCCTGCCATCATGCAAGGTGAAGACATTCAGTCTTTGAGAACTGCGGCTCTCACCCAACAGGGCACCTGTGACACGAGCAAGTCTCCTATCAGGGCTACGACTTTCATGTTAACACCATGCCAGTATGATAACACCATTCCAGACCAATGCTTGCTCAGACATTTTAGTAGTTTTTTAATAGATGGTTGAATACAACAGAGAGGACCTAACAACCTGTGTTGCTGAGTTAAGGGGATATCTAACTTGCTTAGACATGAGCCCTACTCTCACCACAATAAACTGTCATCCCTGCTACTAACAAATTGTCAACCCAGGCCATATTATGAGATTTGATAGCTTGAGTAATGGCATTTACAACTGATCCAGTGGCTCCTCCCCAGGCGAGTACATCAATAAAACACTGAAAGCCACGGCAGCATTATTAAGATGAGACCTCTAAAAGAACTTTCAAGTCTCAGAAACCACTCAAAACAATTAGTAGATCACAAAAAAAAATCCTACATCAATTTTAAACTGGGAATATCAAATGAAAACACTTAACAATATTGAGAATGGCCCTCAAGGAGTCCATAGGGTAAACAGAGATTATTGTGCCCTATGTTGAGTGTCACCCTTGTATACTTTTACTCGTGACAGGTGCACCCAAACTGGAATTCCAGTGACCCGGGCTGCTGAAGGAGTTACCAGGAGAACTATGTGAGGTCCAGTCCAGGCTGGTTCAAAGGTTCGTTTTCTATAGGCTTTCACCAGTACCTGATCACCGGGCTGCACCTCACATGTGTC